ATATCGCCGGCCGCGAAGCGGTGCTGGTCGAGGTACGGCAGCAGCATCTCCATGAGCCGCAGGCGCGGCTGCGGCCAAAACGCAGGGCCCGAAGGCCCGTCGTTCATGCGCACCGCGAGGCCCGCCTCCGGCAGCGCATCGTCGCTGCCGCCGTACGCCAGGAACACGCCCGTCGCATCGCCCGCCTGCAGGTCCGCCAAGCGACGGGCCAGCGCGGGCCAGCGGGCCGGCGCGCGCATCTCCCAGAACACGGCGCCGATGCGCGCCGCAAAGTCGTCGACGACGCCAAACGCGGTGCCGTTGACGTACGCGCTCGCCGGGGTCCTGTACAGCGCGTTGATGACGCTCGTCAGGTTGGCGCGCAGCGCCGCGCCGCCGCCCGTCGTCTTGCCCAGCCGCCTGTTCAGCGCGCAGGCATCGGGCCCCGCCGCACGCACACACTCGGCGAAGAAGCCGTCCACCACGGCCTCGGTGTCGGCGTACCGCTGGCCGTCCAGCATGTCCCCGAACCAGGCGCGCTGGTCCACGATGCCGTCGAGGACCATGCGGGCGACGCGGCGCGGGAACAGCGTCGCGTACACCTGGCCGAGCAGCGCGCCGTAGCCGACGCCCCAGTAGAGCAGCGTGGGCTGCCCCAGGGCGTCGAGGATGCTGTTGATGTCGGCGGCCGTCTGTGGCGTGTTGACGTGGGAGAGGTGCGGCGCCGCATTATCCTGGCAGGCGCGTCCGTAGTTGGTCGACCACGCGTACAGGTACGGGCTGTCGCGGATGAGGTCCGTGGCGCGGCGCGGCCGCGCCCTGTGGCGCGAGGCGGCATCGGCAAAGCACGTTGCCGGCGGCGTCGACGAGTTGGTCCCGCGGGGGTCGAAGCCGACGATGTGGAAATGGTCCCCGACGAGGGTGCGCAGCGCCCCCGCTGCATCGTGCATGAAGCGGGTGCCGCTCGCGCCCGGGCCGCCGGGGTGGACGAGCAGGTTCGGGGCGTCTGCGCGGCCGCGCATCCGCACGAGCGGGACGGCAAAGGTCGTGTCGTCGGACCCGACATCTGGCGTGGCCAGGTGGTCCATCGGCACATGCACGCTGCCGCACTCAAGGTCACCGCACGGCCGCCAGCGGATCGACTCGCCCGCGTACTCTCGCAACGGTGGTTCCGCGTTGCGCGGCCGCGGATTTAGGCGCGGCACGAGGAAGCACCAGGAGAGGATCGCCCAGGTTGCGATGACGGCAATGGATAGGGCCGTTTGAGAGGCGGGTCGTCGACCTTGATCTATGCGGCGGGGGGCGGGCGGCCCAAGGAGCGCCTGCTTCTCCATGCTATCCGCCGCGAGGTGCCAATGCCAAGCAGGAGATGACTTTGATACTGGAGAGAGTGATTTGCGTTCCGAGGGAGTGTAGCGGTGTCAACGTTGTTGAATTGATGGAGCTGTTGAGATGAGGTGGGCAAGATGAGCTAGGGAAGCTTGGTGCGCTTGACGTACCCTGTAGGTGGCTGGCTGCAGGAGTTGACTGCATGTCATCTCCCCGCCGCAGCCGCAACAATGGATGAATCGTCCTGTCAGAGGATGAATGAAACAAGCACGTGGTTTTCTTGTACCTTGGTGGATTTCAATCATTGCCCAATAATTCACACGCCTTGTTCGCTGAGCCAATCCGCCTACTGCCCATCACCTCTCGTGTAAATGCATTAGCGGAATTTATTAGCACAGTGGAAGAAGCCTTCATTATTCGCCAGGTCCCGCGGCGTGCGGTATCAAAACAACATACTCTACAATATGAGACCCATGTAAGCATTTGCGCGCGTACTCCCAAACTCCGTATTGTGCGCGAACCATCTCCCGCCAAACACACACCCCTGCGAAATGTCCCCGTGAGGCATTCGTTGCGAGCCATCCCACCACCCGTCTATTCCCCTCTATGCTACTCTCCCTTATCAAACAGGCGCTGCACCAGTCTATTGTCTCGCCTGCTACTCCTCCATCTCAAACAGCTGCGGCACGAGGCTCCGCAAGCACTCGTCCAGACCGCGCCACTTCACACCCAGCACGCGCTCCGTCTCGGCCGCATCGACGCCAAAATGCCCTTGGGCCTCGCGCGTGCCCGGCGTGCCGACCGGGATCCGATCCGCCATCGGCGCCACACGCCGCGCCACATCCGCAATCTCCTGGTTACAATACACGCCCTGCGCCAGCAGGTACCGGCCGCCGCCGGCCTCGGGCACGACGAGCGCGCGCACGTGCGCGTCGGCCACGTCCCGCACGTCGACCCAGACGGGGCCCTTTGTCGGCGGCACCGGGGCCGCGCGGCCGGCGCTCACGACGCCCCAGACGATGCGGTTGCTCGTGTTGACGTCGGCGACGGCGCGCGGCCTTGCCTTGGGCAGGAACGGGCCAAAGACCATGGCCGGGCAGAGGCTGACCATGTCAAAGGCAACGGGGCGGTCCTTCATAAAGGCCCAGGCGGCGCGCTCGGCGGCCGTCTTGCTCGCGCGGTACGCCGTCGGGGCGTCC